ACGTGTTATTCAGATATAAACAGAAAATGATAGGGCAGCTGCAACAGAAGTCATGATTTAAAAGACACTGGAACCAATCTACAATGAAGATAGCCAAGTGCAGCAGTTGGTCACGTCACCACCGTTTGAAATCACAGTCTTGTGAATTACTGGAAACTCTGAAAGAAATCTGAGGGGGGTGGGTGGGGCTGGCAATCATTAGTAATCCCTGTGAAAATGATTCAATTCTAGAACAGACACATAACAAAGGAAAAATAAATTGTATTACACATACCCTAATTTTGTATAGTTTGCTTAGTTCGCTTGTTTTTGACTTGTAAGGATTTTATTTTCCTGATGGGGTAGACTGCATATGCCAATACTTCATATAGCTTGTCAAAATAAATAAATAAAGTACTGGAGAGCATCAACTCTCTAAGGGACACAGCTGAACTTCTGAGCCCCCTCCCCAACTCACTTTTGCTGCTACTGTTGGTCCCAAGATTTATAGCAGGATTCTATCTCTACTTAGATAAGCAAATATTTAGTCACCAGCCAAGATGATTTGTGAAACCCGTAATTGGCCCAGTTGTGTGTCACAAGCTCTTTAAATGGCTCTCCCAGACTTTAGACCAGCAGGCATCTCCTTGTAACCTACTGTAGCACATACAGTCAAAGCCAGGCAACTCAGATAACGGCCAAGAGTGAATGTTAAACTCTGGACCATGATGATCTTTCCACCGAAAGGCGATTGGAATTTCTCAATTAAGAAAGGAGAAAGGGTTTAAACAAACTGCAAGATAAACAAGGATATGCATTTGTTGACACAGGAAATACCATTATCCACTGCATGCTCCAAATAAAAGTAGAGTACACATTCAAAGTTACATGGTTTCGCAACCAGTGTTTTAATCTCTATGTAAACTTCTCCATTACAACAATTGCTTTTTTTAAGAAATGAAAAGTTCTTTTATGCGTTATGTAATAATTGCATGAAATCGTCAAATGCTACAATAACCAGTGATTTGTGATTTCTCACAGGAAAATGTATATAACCCAACGTTTTAGAATTGTACATTGCCTACATCCTGTTTCTGTACATAATATGAACTAGAAAGCAGAAGAGAAGCATCAGGTCAACTGAATTTTTTTATAACCTTTTCTGGCAATGAAGGTTTGGCAACTGAATTATTAATATAGCCTAATCACATTAATTCAACAGATAAGTCAATGATCATAAAAGTCATTATTGTACAAACAGTACAATGCACTGTGCATATACATTTAAGATTTCGTTGTATAACACACAAACGGTGAAAGGAACTGGACTAAACTAGTGGACAACAGCAGGGACATCCAGTTGTGAACTTAAGAGCCCCTGTGGTGGGAGAACTGTAGAACTACAGTAGGACCTGTTCACCTCAGTGCACCTCAAAAGGGGAAGTGTCTTCAAGAGCAGGCAGCTTCGGTTAACACTTACTGTAATCAACAATGCAGATCTCGGAGCGCATTTTACGTTGTCTGACACCGCAAGGAAAACCAGCAACAAAACCTTTTTCATTTCAGTCAGGTGATTGAATCTGGTGTGTTTATGTGCCTGTGTGCGTGGAAGGACAAGGGGGTAAAGAGCTTGGCAAGTTAAGCAAAGCTGGTAAAGTTACAGTACCACACAATTCCTTAACACATTAAACTGTGAAGAAAATGTGCTCGCCTTTTTACTAGTGCTAATATCAACTAGATGACAGACACAGTTCTGCATTCTGGACATTTCTTCCACTCGCTGAACTATTCAAACGAGTAAATGTGTGCTATTAACACATTTAAAGAAGTAGTGTAGCACAATACAAAGAAGGCTGTTACTTAGGAATGTTCAAAATGACAATATTAACCACAAGCCTCATGTGGTAAGAGCTCTACCTATTGATGTGGTCTGTGAAAGGTTTCCTGGAACACAAATTACTCGCAAATGGTTCATTATGGTGAGGCACAAAGTATGCAGCTATTCAGAAAGTTTATCTAGAGCCCACTTGCTAAGTCTCCAGAATGTATTCCAGCTTTTCACATTTTTCCTAAAGTCTGCGAAGCACACTCAATTATCAATGATCAATTTAGCTCACTTTTACACTCTGTATACTGTATACTGCTTCAGTAAGTTAAAAGGAATGCAATACTAAAAGGCATTCTGCTTCTTACATTTTGTGATATTTTACCATCATAAGGCATAAAATCCAAAAAGGAAAAAATCTAACAAAAAAAGAAAATGACAGCTTGAATGCACTTAATGTCTTAATCTGAAATATTGCAAAATTAAAACTTCCCATGTGTCGACAGCACTCTTCTCATGAATGCCAAGCAGCTTGGAAAATGCACCCTTATCTTTGAGAGCTTGTGACCTGTGGTCCTGCTCAGTTGGATGTTCTGGACATTTAGCTCTTTGGCTTAGTCCAAGTGCAGTACTTCGCACGTGACTGAGAAATGAACCAGAAACGTCTTGCAGTCAACATTTTTCTTGCAAGAAAGGAAAAAGGCCACTTGGGTCATCTAACTTGTTTGGCTTCGAGCAGCTAATTGATCTGAGGATCTTGTCCAGCCGTTCCTTGAAAGAAAGCAGGGTAGCAGCTTCCAACAGATTGCTGGGTAGCTTGCTGCCAACCTCCACAGCCCTCTGTGTAAAAAGACTGCCTGCTAACCTGAGTTTTAATTCTGCCTAGCTGTGCTTTCCTTTTGTGTCTTATGGTTCATGTTTCATTGTTTTATGGGACTGAATGACCATCTGGTTTATAACACGGCAACCAAAATTGTACACAATACTCTAAATAACGTCCTCCATCACTAGTCCATGATAATTACTGGCTATGGAAGGGTTACTGAGCACATTCTAATACAGGAAAGAATAAACTAAGCAAAGAATTTTTTTCTCCCCACAATACTGACGAATCTCACTGATATTTTGTTACTACCTTTTGAGATGTTAAACAAAACAATTTACTGCAGTTTAATGCAGTCATACACTGTTGCAGGACAGATTGCAAATGTACGTTATAGAAAATTTGCTGGCTGGGTTATAAATCTAACTCCTTTTCAATAACAGTTCAAGTCTAAACTCTACAGCCTCACTATTTACTCACTATTTACTGTCATTTGCAAAAGTGATTTTGAATAATGCTGAATCCAAAAATAAGGTATAGATTTCGATATACTGATATATTGTTATACAACTAGCACGACAATGATCATTTAAAAAAACCCACTCATGCCTTGTAAACTGTACAAACTGCACACTCAGCATGTGCTTTGTGTTCAGAAACAACCCAAACAACAAAGAGAGCTAATAAGAATTGTGCCGTAGTGTTTAGTTTTAGGTTTTATAATCACAGTGAAATGTTAAATTGTTTGGCAAGTTAAACATACAAAAAAAAGCACTGCGTGAAGGAAACAGTCATGGAAAATATATTCTGCTGGAGTAACAGGAGAAAAACACACAGACTCACTCAAAAGACATGGACCGCAAACATGTCTTGAAAATTCCATGGATACCTAACACTACGTCCAAGAAAACTGAATAATCAAAAACACAACTCTGTTAATTTAAAACTCCCGTGAGGAAACATTTTGTTTTAAAAATACCCTTCCACTTCAAAAACAGTGAGTGTGAAGTGACTTGTTTTGTAAACTCTGCAAGGTCTTTTACAGAGTCTATGCAAAATCAAAATACAGCAGCCTAGAAACAGACAATCAGCAAATAAGGAAAACGTATCCGCATATTTGATCAGACACAAATATGGGAACAATTTCCCCAGGATGTGAAAAACATGTTAACAAAATATGTGACAGCATCACACACTACATGAATTTATTTTTAGCTCTGTGGACTGAACTTCCTGAACTGGTGTTAACCTAACTAGTTTATAATTGCACATCATAAACAGGAATTTATGAGGGACCTAACATTTAATGTACTGGAACACTAAACATACACATAATGCAGTTTTCTGCTGGAGAAGACAGTAATTATTCTGCTTTGAAAAGAAAAGTGAACTTGAAGAATCAAAATGATTTAATATTTAATAACATCCACAATCTCATATTTTTGTTTCTGAACAAAAACACAAATGACTAACTTACACTTTCACAAAATTATATGAATTTCTTATTTTCCAACATTCCGTGTTTGCCAAAAAAAGAGGATCTGTTTCTTCATGATACTTCACAAACTTGCCCTTTGTTGTAGGGTGATGCTACATATGGTTTCATATTTGAACAGGCGTGATCATCAAAATCCCACTTTGTTACCGTAGGCAGTATTTGAAATCGGTGCCTATTCAGAAAACAGAGCATACTTAGTTTTCAAACCCAGTCTCAGCAGTAAGGTAGTCTTAATTTCTGTCAGGGATGACACATGACAAAAGCTAAGATGAGAGTTATATTACATATGGTTTACTTTTGATTCATGCAGACCTATAAACGTGATTTCTAGTGAATGGATTCTGCCCATGTGTTTGTAGTTTTGGCTGCATGTGGACTGCCTACCCATATCTATTCTCAGCTTACACATTTAAAAGAGGAGATGTGTATCCTGGTGATATAACCACTTCTCAAGACAATATAACGATGACTGCACACCAAGATGTTTGCGTAAGTACAAAGCAATAAAACTAAGATCCTTGTTGTGAAAAGTAAAACTAATGATATCCTCTAAGATGCTAAAAAAAATAAGGAAACCTTTTTCCCCCACTTTCTTTTAACACTCTTTAAAAAGGTGTTTTCGGTTTCAGTCTATAATTTAGCTCTAGCAGAGACTTTGATAGTTTAACAAAGAGATCAGTGTTTGTCTGCAGTTGTTTTTTTAGGTAAATATAAATCATATAATAGGTTGCAAATTCATCCACAAGCTTGCAGAAGTGTAAATAACATCTGTTTCAGGGATATGCCTTAGTGCCCTCACAATTCAGCACAACGTCATCTTAAAGCTCAGATCATCATTGGGAAGACATAAGCCAATAAATGGCTAATTTACTCACCATCTCAACCCCCTGAGGAAATGTTGTATCAGCCCAGTCTTTTTCTGGGAAGCGCTGGATTATTTTTCCACATCCCTCTCCAGAACCTTTGAAAGCACAAGCAGAAGATTAATTATAAGGGCATCCTCTAACTCAAAAACATGCATATACTGTAAGAAGTTCACCTTACTTATCGGGAAGAAATACATTTTATACAAAAATATGTCTCGTGTTCTGTGAAAGTCTCTGAATTTGAGTCTTTAGTATCTTTATTGTGTTTAACCCTGCATATCAAATACATGTAGATAAAAAAATAATAATTACTCTTTGGAAGACAGAAGGTCACATGTATAACAATAAATCATGTCTAACTTCGGTGCAGTGAAGCCAGCACAGGCAGCAAGTCATATGGTCAACCATGAATGCAGTACATCTGTGCCATCTGCTGCAATGCTCATTCCTTTCTTATGCTGTTTCTTCTTGTTTGCTTTCCTGCAAAAAAAAAATCTTGACTGCTAACAGAACAGAAACCAATGGCATCTTCAGCTACATGACAGATCTAAACTGGAGCAATTAAAAGCCTTCAAAAAGAAAGCTGCCTACCGCACCAACAAGATACTGTAGCTGTGATCTGTCACTACCAAACCCTGAGACTCGCTAATTCAACCCCTCTGGAAAGTGCATAAATGTGGCTGGAAATCCACCCTGTTCTGCTTTTAGTGGTGGTACATACTAGAAACGAGCTTTTCAAAGGCCATGCCTACATGTAATTCAGTGCTTCCTGCATCCTGGTTCACATATTTATTTACTCCTTGAAAATAACTCTAAAGATTGCAGCCACTTGTTGATTTACTAGAGAAGCATCAAACAAATTCCTTAAGATGACTACACAGACTGTATA